GCTTTCTCTGATAGTTGTTTACGTTTCCATGTTTCAGCACTATCACTGGCTGGAGCAATACCTTCTCTCTGCCACATGTGTGATAGTTAAACAGGAAGTGGGGTGTTGAGGGGCTGTGGGAGGTTTCCTGTTGTATAGTCTGTAATATAAACATACACGCTTTGATACTCAGAAGAGCTCTGATAAAACAATCACAAACCTAGAAGAAAGCCAAGCCGAACATATATTTGGCTTTGAAAGAGAAAATGAAACAGCACTGCAGTTTTCCCACTGCCAGATTGACCCAGCCAAGAAAAAAGATGAGGATGTTTATAAAACAACATATTTAAAAACTGTGCTTATGTACTGCAGAACGATGGACTTGAACCGCTACTACTGCATTGTGGGATGTTATGAGTCCATTCTGAGCAATGGGCATTGGAGACAGATGATGTAGCATATGAGATTGGATGGGGAATACAGTGTAAGAAGATTGTTTAAAATAAGTAAACCAAGCCCAAATGGGTATTTACAAACTTGAACAAATGATGGATGTGGAAGATCATCAATTTGTAGCTTGAAAAATGCACCCTTCGAAACTGCAAGTGCATACTGAGGTCCAGAACATATAAGTTTAGAAAGGGCTGTTTCTTCCCCTCATCCTTACATTAAAAGCTTTTGTATAAAGATACTAAAGTTAGAGGAGTTTTGCCCCTCTGTGCCCTGGAATATCTTAAGAGTGTTCAAAAGAACCCCCTTCTTTAAATGACTTGGGAGGCAGGTAACAGTATATACTCCAGGAACATTGCATCATTTTCTGCTATTCACTCAACAATCTTGTTCTTTTCTGTGTTTTCCAGGAATTCTGAACACATAAAGAGGAGCCTACAGACCAGGTGGGATGGACAGCCATATAGATAGGACTCTTTCTTGAAATAATATTTGAACAATGGTCAATATCAATGGATAGAACATGATCCTGCTGCTGAACTATCTAAACTTACATTAGCTACATGTACCAAACTTTTCAGAATACCATCCAACAGTCCATGTTTCTTGTAAACTTCCAAAGATTTCCCAAAATATGTATGAGAGCAAATGTATATTAAACAGCCAGTGTGGTATAGCAGTTAAGATGCTGGATCAACACCAGGGAGTGCCAAATTCTATTGTATTCTCAACCACAGAAGCTCCTTGGATGATTTTGGACCAGCCACTCTCTCTCAGCCCAACCTGATAGGATTGTTGTGGGGAAAAAGATAGGAGGAAGAGCTTTGTATGCCACCTCCTAAACAAAACTCTTAAACAAAAGGTGGCCTATACATCTAATGTACAAACAAATATTGTGGGCTCAAAAATAAGCAGTGAACATACAAGATAATTATATAAACAGATGAAATTATCTGGACCCCTCTCTATAATCCATGAACAAAGCAGGGCTATTACATAATAAAAGCATTATCTGGAGACATTCCAAATCATGGAAAATGCTACTGAGATTAATGAAATATGCTCCTGAAATTTTTTTCCAGTCACTTCCTCACAGGGTCTTGTACTGCTCTAGCTTCAGCTCTACATCACCTTTCAAGTTCTTGTGCTTCAGTGAGGTTTCAGACACCTTGGTGCTGTAGTTCTTTCAGGAGGAAAGATGGCTTGATACCTTTGCAGCTGCTTGGAATTTTTGGCATACAACATTGTGGAAGAGCAGGTCGCTTAGCCAAATTACAGGCACCTATGCTGCCTTCTTTCCCTCCCATCTGAGCCTTTCCCCAAGCGTCAGCACAGCAGAGTTGCCAGTAAAGCTGCAACCTTGGCACAGGTGTGGGGGAGAGATGGGAGGAGATGTGTGTTTTGGAGCTCTGCAGCCACCAACAAATAGAATACAGCAGCTGAACCAAAGAAGGTGTTTTTCCTTCAGAAAGAGTGGACACTCCAAAAGAGAGGAAAAGAAGTATAGCAGCCCAGCAAGACAAAGCACAATGTAAAAAAGGTGTAAGAGCTTTACATGCTGGCCATTAATAGAAAAAGAAGAAGAAATCTCAGAGAGAGGGGACTTAAGGCAGAACAGACTTAAGAAAGAAATGTTAATGCATACTAGTAATAGTATAGAGCATAGTATATAGGTAATTGTAATAGAGTGATAGGTAATAGAGTAATAGGTAATAGTAACTGAATAGTAATAGTATAAAGTATGAGAGCCAGTTTGGTCTAGTGGTTAAGGCACCAGGCTAGAAACCAGGAGACTGTGAGTTCTAGTCCTGCCTTTGGCATGAAAGCCAGCTGGGTGACTTTGGGCTAGTCACTCTCTCTCAGCCCACAATGCCAGGCTTGGATGACAAGCCAGTTGATCAATTCCTATTGCAACCAATGGATCAACATTCGGTTGATCCAAAAAAGTGTACCTTGCACCTGTGGGAAAAATGCTAGGAAGAAAAAAATTAGTGTATAGTAAAAACCTTGTCATAGTATACTGTATTGTAATGGTAATTATCCTAGTAATAGTATAGAGATAACAATAGAATATAGGAACCACTCACATATCACTATTATGTTTGTTTTTACAAAATAAGACATCTCCCCAAACTATATAGGGAGATATAAAGAAACCATCTATCCAGGATCCAGTGCTTTTGTATATCTCTTGAGTCTGGGTTAATCTAATTGGGTACAGTTTAAAAAAGAACCCATGACGATCGGTTTGAATGGTGGGATTTTCAGACAGGACTCATTAAATACGGTGCATAAAAAGTAAAAATCTATAGCTTAGAAAAATATAGCTGCCTCTCATAAGACCTGTTTGGAAATTTCTGGCATGCAACATGAAGAAAGGATATGGGGAATGGGATGCAAAGAATTTATTTTACTTCCATTTATGTGAAGTGAATGAGGAGAATTTTGTTCAGTACTTGCTGCTTTCTGAGCTTCGTTGCTTTTGCAGACCTTTCATGATCAGGCTATGTAACGTTAGCATGAGGAAGAGTGGGGTTTGCTTGATGCTTATTTTGGACTTCATAAATACCAGCACACAAATGATAGCTTCAAGGAGCAATTAGAACAAACCATGACTTCAGAACATATAGAGATGCTGATAACCACCATCAAAATCACATTTCTAAGACAAGCTAAGAAAAGAAAAACACAACTGTGAACTAAACTGCTCAAGCTAAATTCTACAGGTAAAGATGTAGCGGAACCTGAATGGGTGGTAGATATCTCCAGCTGTCTGTTATCCACCCCAGAATAGAGAATTCTTTAGAAAGGACTCAGCTACAACATCAAGAATGCAAACCAATTGTAATTTTTGTAAGCTTAGAAGCAGCATTCAGAAGAACAGGATTGACCACTGAAACTCAAGAAAATATAACATACACAGCTTTTGAGGTACTGGGGTGTAGAAACAATGGTTGTATGGAAGTGTCCTCACGTTCTCTGTAAATATCATGGATAAAGCCATATTTTATTAGAGTAACAGTCCACTAACAAAGTGTGTGTATGTGTGTGTGTATAAAAGAGGAATGTAGCAAATAACTTTTAAAAAACGAGCTTTATCTGGTGTTAAATAAATTAATAGATTTAACGTGGCACAAGCTTGTGAAGCTACTTTGTCATAAACAGGTTATCCTCAGCTTGTGAATGTGTGTTTGAGCTTTGCATTGACATTTCACAATGGTGCATTTCAGAGTTATTGTTTCATTGGGATCACTGTTTACATCCACCCCTCCCCAACAGATAATACTTCAGGAATCAAATGGATAGTTATCGATCAAATCATATACTGTGGAGTCCTTGGGGTTCTCTGAGCTTGGTTCTTTTCTTGCAAATGCTTCATTACTTGACTAGGTAACATCTTCAATGCTAAAATGAGATGGGGTTTGCTCTCTGTTTATATACAGTGGCATGCCCTGCCAGTGTTGGTGGGGGTTTGTTTTGCTCCTCTGGTAGTTCCTTGATTAGGGTATTGCTTATTGCTTGCTTGTGTGCCTGGTGGTAATCTCTGCTTATCTGGGTGATGATTGCGGGCAAGATGTTCTGGTCTTTTTCTTTTCTATTGTCTCTTTTGAATAGTGTGTAGATGCTGTTTATCTGTGTGTGTCTGTTGGCAGGGCATGCCACGGTATATAAACAGAGAGCAAACCCCATCCCATTCCAGCACCGAAGACGTTACCTAGCCGGGTAATGAAACGTTTGCAAGAAAAGAACCAAGCCCAGAGAACCCCAAGG